ACCATGATATTTCCTGAATGAAAACCAAAAAATAGTCCAAGACCTTTTATAATAGAAAAAAAATTAACAAGATAAAAAATTCTAAGATTTTTAAGGGTTTGATTTTAAGAATGGGCTTGCATGAAGAAGGGGCTTGGTTTGTTTGATTTTGTTATGAATAGAAAAAGCCCTTAAAGAAGAAATGTATGTATGATAATATATAAGGATATATTCCATTATATATGTGCTATGTATATACAAATAATTACACATTTATATTCAGTTTATATTCAATGTTGTTAAGTTTGCAAAGAGTAGATCAAGATACAGTCCTATAAGACACAAGAGTGAGTTTATAATATAGTAGTCTAATAAATACTACATCACCCAGGTAATCAATATCCCCATCTGTAGTCACAAACCTTGTTGATGGTATCTAGCTACTGTGCTTTGCTATGATTTATCTTCTAATATTTGATGGACACTTGGTCTCCAATGTGGTGTTAGGTCATAAGGCCTTTAAATGGGCCTGGTTGGCTATAATTAGGTTACTTGGGGTGTTGTGCTTGGAAGGAGTTGGTGTAGTTTTCTGAGATCAGTCAGTTCATTGCTGACAGAGTTCTTATAGAAAGTGAGCTTGATATTCTGGCATCCTGTCTTACCATATGATCTGTCCCTAGAACATATTCTTGCCCTTGTGCTATCTGTTGTGACGAGGTATGGCTAGGAAGACCCTCTACAAAACTGGAACCATTTTGCTGGGACTTCCAGCTTCCAAAACTCAGTGATAAATAAGCCATTTTTCTTTGTATAGATGATGTAGCTCCAGATGTTTTGTTGTAGCAATAGAAAATGGATTAAATGTTATTGTTTATAGTACTACAATGACAGTGATATGATATGGTACCTGTATTATCTTTCTCTACAAAACTCATAACCCTAGTGTAGTATGAGGAAAAGAGTCTGCTTGAGGTACATCATATAATAATCAATCAAACTCATCAGAAATAAGGAAAATTTGAGAAACTGATAGAGTCAAGAGGAGCCTCAAGCAAACATAATGTATCCTGGATGGGAAACTGAAATAAAAAAAGACATCAAGTAAAAATAAAACTAAATAGACTATCTAGTTAATAAATATGTTTGGATATTGATTAATCATAATTTAAGATATGAATAATAGGGGGAACTGGGTGGGGATAGGTGACAGGACTAGAAGAATTTCAGGAAAAGCCAAGCAGTGGTGGTACACACTGTTAATTCCAGCACTCCAGAGGCAGACAGGCAAGTCTCTGAGTGCCAGGACAGCCTGGGCCACACAGAGAAACCCTGTCTCACAAAACCAACCAACCAACTAGCCAGCCAACCAACAACAAACAAAGGACTCTGGGAAATACTTGTATCTTTCTTCACGTGTGAAACTGTTCTTGACGCTGTCCATTGAGGGCTGACCAGGTGCTCAGTGAGCAAAGGTGCTTGCTGCTGAGCTCACGGACAAGAGTTCAAACTCTGGCACACACAGGATGAAGAGAGAACAAAATTCTACCAGTTGTTCTTTGGCCTTTATACATGCACACCTACCCTCATCATACATACACACAAATAAGTAAGTGTTATAAATGTTTATGAATGTATATTGACTTTTAAAAATCAGTTTAAAGAATAGGATTATAAGTTCTCCCTTAAAAGTCTGCAGTTATATCTCAGACTTGTCTTTATTCCTTTTATTCCTAGAAAAATGAAAAATTGTTAATGAAATGGTCACTAAAAAATAAAAATATGAAAGTTCACATTTAATCTTTCTACTTAAAAATTCCCACACTGTAAAAGTTCAGTTTTTGTTTTATACATTTCTGGGACACTCTCTGTGTTGTGTATTGCCATCTTTGCTTAATATCTCATGGATACATTGATGAGTCCTTAGCATAATTATAATATTGAGTATATTTTAAGGACTTTGATACATATTTTTACATTTCTCTAGAAATTTATAGCAGATTAAATTTTGCTCAAAATATTATTAATTTGTAGATGTCATAAATTGGGACCATCTAATGTTTAGATGTATTTCTCTTGGAAATAGTAGACCCATAAATAGTTAATTTCACTTGAAAACAATTGAGTAGAGATACAATGAATGAATGGTTCCTTGCACCAGAACAGTAATGTGGAATGTGTCTACACATCAAGTTGGTTTTATGTTTTTCTTTGGTTTGGCTGGGGTTTTAAGGATAGAGTCTTGCTTTGAAGCCCAGGCTAGCCAGGGATTTTCATTGTGTACTAGGGTGACCTCATACTCAGCAATCGCCATATACTAAGCATTGAGGTTACAGGTATTCATCACCATGCCTGGACTTTACTTATACTCAAAAGCTAGTGGTTTTAAGGGAAAAAGTAAAACATGAACATCTCTCATCAAGAGAAAATTTCTCATTTAAAGGACATGAAAACATATAATTTAAAAAAAGAACAGTAAAACTACATAGGGTGATAGATACAAGTGTCTTTGCTTAATGACTTCAAAACAAAGTTCAACCCTTTTCACTTGCTTGCATTATCCTCTGGCTCCTATGTGGATTTGAATTACCATTCTTTTCAAAATTTAACAGTTACTTGTTGAATTTTGAAAAATGCTGTTTAAACATCTGTTTTATTATTAGAAATATCACTAGTATTAATGGAAATAGTATAAATAAGATATAATTTCAGTGGCAATATCTGCTTTTGGAGCTTTTAATGTCTTTATGAACATTTGACCTATTCATCAATGCATATTAATTTTTATTAATCTTAGCTTATCACATTGTAATACACAGATGTTGTAAACAATTTTTAAAAGAACCTCAGATTTATTTTTAAATATACTCATAGGCTAAGATTATGTTTCTTCTGTTTTATTTTAAAAATTGGGTTGACCTTGAACAATTATTAAAATTTATTTAGAAAATGACAGGGTATTAATATATCCTTTGTAGCCAGATCTGGTAGCACATGTAATCCCAGCACTTAGGAGGCAGATGCAGGTGGATGTCTGAGTTCGAGGCCAGCCTAGCCTAGAGAGTGAGTTCTAGGACAGCTAGGAATACACAAAACCTATCTTGGATAATATCAATACATTATATGTGTGTGTGTGTGTGTGTGTGTGTGTATGTATATATATATATATAATATACATCATAATATCATATAATTTAGCAATGTTTAGCATAGTGTATATAGTATATAACATATGATATATGATACCCAGTGTTATTTATTGTATATGTAATATATCCTATACCACATATATGTATATATCTCCTTTGTAATATTTGATGGTGACAGAGAAGAGCAGTATAACTTTTAAATGTTTTTAGTTTGTCAGGCAATGAAATATTTGTGAACAGCATATGTTTGATTTTAATAGAAAAAAAATCAAAGAATAAAAACAGCATGATGCTTAAAATAGGAGGAAAAAGAAAAGGGGCAAGTCACATAGACTCTGGAAGAAAAGTGTCTTAAGATTATCTATAAGAAAGTGATGTGTGATTTTTGACAGTACAAGGCAAACAATTCTGAAGGAACTGTTCAAAGTATGGTAAATGAAAACTTGGACATTAATCAGGTGATTTAAATGCAAAGAAATTCTAAGTGTAAAAGCATACAAATAAAAATAGTTCTCTCATCCCCAAACTATATGTTAGGATTGAGGATTTTTTTCTGTTCTATTGAAACTGAAAACAGAAATAGGAACAAAGTGGTATTACCTTTGTTCAGAATGTACATACACAGATAGGCACACACATTATATACACGTGTGTACATTATGTGTTTTTATGTTGTCAAAGTTCTTGGTAATATCATTTGGGAAGGATGGGATTGTGCATAATTATAGTTATAAAAATGATTTTCAGGGCTACTGGATCCATATTGATAGTAATAACATCCTATGATTTGGCATTTTAATGTGATTAAATAAACAACAATGGACTAGAGAGATGGTTCAGGGTTTAAGATCACTTGCTGCTTTTGCACAGGACCTGGATTCAGTTGCTAGCATCTACATAGTTGTTTATAGCCACCCATGATTAGTGACTACAGTCTCAGAGTAGTCCTATTTCCAGAATCAGATGTCCTATTCCAACCTCCCTAGGGTTCCTCCATGCATGTAGTGCACATACATACATCCATTCAGGCACAAACACATCTGTATGAAACAAATACATAAATCTTTAAAAACGTTAAATCAGTGAAAACACCATTTTTGTAATGATTCTGTATTTTATCTTTTGTAAAAGAAGTGATACATTTGGACATGTATTTGTACATGGCTTTCTGTGGTCTCATTCAGTGAAAATGGTAGAATATCATAAAAAGCTAGTTTTCATAAGCAGGTTTCCTGGGATTCCAATTATTGAAATTTGCGGCTAACCACCAGCAGTTTATGACATATGAGCAGATTTCTAAAGAGAATCCTAAGTAGGGAATTGATTGTCAAATGTCTCAGATTTGAAGTGTGGTTATGAATTTGTGACACTTTGTAGGCTTGCTAGCTCTCCATGGTGCTGGTGCTTTCCTCCCCTAGATTTCTATCCTGTGCTCTTGTGACTCAGTCTCTGGATGGTAGAAGGAGACACTTGTCTATAACCATAAACTTCTAGTGATTGATTTATAGATTTATAGATATAGGCGTATGTCATGGAGCTTCAATTTAAAGTTTTTTTCCTGCAAATCTATATGACAACAATATTTATGAAGACATTTGTATAGATCCTTGGTGTTTTAGCTGAAAAATATCACTATTAAAATGATATGGTTTAGATAAAGGGAGTTTAGACTTTTAGATCTTGATCTCTCTCAGGGCCTTTGTGCATATAATGACTGAGCTGGGCTCCATAACCTCTTATAGCTTATCATCTGCTGTTAAAATGAATTTTCCCAAGAATGTTTATGATTTATATGGTGTAATAGAAATGTACCCATATTTTTAAATGATATAAAATATCATATGTTGGGTTTGACATGTAAACTTCAAATAACAGTTGTCTCAACAGCCATCGTTATCAGGCTTGGAAACATTGATGGTCTCACAGAAGTCTGAAATCGAGTGTTTACAGAAGGACCTGAGAGTGGCAAATGAAAAGTTACTGGAGAGTAGACCTCCTGCCCAGAGTTTCTCAGGGAAGAGTGCTGACAGAAAACGCAAGGTAGACATTTTAGCATCTTACTCATTTGTCAGGAGGAGGCTGGCAAGGCAAGGGAGGAAGTCAGAAACAGAGAAGCACGCATTGCTTTCTTTGTGTATATTGAAAGTAAAGACTACTTTCTTTTGGTAAGAATCCCTCATCTACTTAATAGAGTTTATTGTAAAATGTAGTTACTTAAATTTGTAATTTTAAGTAAAAGAAAGTGTATAATATTTATTTTTGTTCCAGTATGATATGTAAATTACAAGACACATGGAATATATAATACTGAGATATTTCAACATTAATTGTTTTATTAGAGATTCAGGGTAGCGATAAAGTTAAATCAGCAAATTTTACATGGCATATTTTTTTTAAAAATTTTTCTACTCTTGTTTTTCTTTCTTTTTTGGTATGCATTATATATTTATGCTATGCAGCAGAATATGCTATAGAATATTTACGGATAGAAATGTTATAGATAAGTTGAAGTAACTTTTTCCTAAAAGCAAGGCATTTTAAACATTTTTTTTCCTCACACCTGTTACATCAGGAGAGTGTTTCGTGTAAACACAGTGTGCTGAGGATGATTGCTTTGGGTTCTTTCCAGTCCCCCACCCCTTTTTTTAATGATTAGAACAAGCTGCCTTGATGAGGAAGCATTTTAAGTAAGACTGATCGGTGTACTCATGGCAGTGTTACTTATGCCTTATAGAATTGTTAGTAATTTTCACAAGTGTGGATTTTATTTCTTCATCATAATATCACTTACTTTGCAACTCTTATTTTGAGGTAGTTTCCCAAGCTTATTTAAATGAAAGAAAGCATTCATAAGATTAAAAACAGTTATAGGACCAAATTTGGTTGCTTGCTATATTGCTGAAGTTTGAAAATAAAATATTTTTATCTCCAAAGCCAAGTAAAGGAAGAACAGGTGTATTTTAAACATTTTCTTTTTCTTTTTTGTAAGGACATGCATAAAAAGGGAACACTGCTGCCCAGCTTTATAGCCATTTTCCTGCATTCTGTCTCCAGATTGGTATATGGAGCTACATAATATAAACACACATTCTTGTCTCTAGTTGGCCACATTACAGTTAATGACCATATGGTCATTATGGTATAAGATCTACTGTCTGTTGTATTTATATTCCTCAAGCATATTGTTCCTTCAACTTCACAGTGTGTTAAACTATTTCAAAGGGGAAAAAATCCTTTCCCTCTTGTTTCTGGTTGTCCTATCAAGTGTAACCTTGGACCCTTATAGAGCAATTAGACCAGCCTCTATCCCCTCCTTTGTAATGAGGTTTCTTGCATTTCTGAGTCTATAACCCTTTAGTCTTCCCTAATGGGACATCATTATTCTGAAAGAAACAATGTAAATGTAAATGAATATTCTCATTAACGAGTCACAGAGAAACCTTTAGCTGCAGCACTGTGGTAATTCCGCTTGTTATTTCTCGGGTATTCCATGCAGGACTTTTTTTTTTTATAATTCATTATTAGTATTCAAAATTACTTGTTCTTTAATTTTGCATGTCTTTCATAATCCAGTGTTTCAGACAGTTCAACCATGTCCTTGTTTTATTCTCGAGGAACCACCTGTGAAACGCTCAAGGTCTTTGTCCCCAAAGAGCACTTTCCTGGATTCAGAGGAGCTAAGGAAGCTGAAACAAGCTGAAAGAAAGATTGAAAACTTAGAGAAGACACTACAGCTAAAGGTGAACATTAAACTGCTTCTTTAATTAAAGCCATGCAAAGATAAATATAAACAGCAAGGATACAGTTCACGTGTTTGTCCTTTCTGAATTCAATTATTATGTAAAAACAGTCTTTAAAACAGATTTCTTAGGATTATAAAGTAGTAAAAATATTTACTACTTGAAAATGAAATACTTATTCATTAATTTCAAATAAAATTGGGAATAAATTTATTACAGTATTTTAGAAACAAAAACACAACACTATAGATAGTAGAAAAAGAATTTCCTATTGTTTATCATATAAATATTTTTTTTTTTTTTGATTTTTCGAGACAGGGTTTCTCTGTGTAGTTTTGCGCCTTTCCTGGGACTCACTTGGTAGCCCAGGCTGGCCTCGAACTCACAGAGATTCGCCTGCCTCTGCCTCCCGAGTGCTGGGATTAAAGGCGTGCGCCACCACCGCCCGGCATAAATATTTTAAGACTAAATTGGATTAAATATTATTTTCAATTTGCTCAGCTTACTTGTAAATACTGTGTTAGTTACTTTTCTTGTTTTATAGAGGAAACAATGAACATTGAATACTAGTTAGTCTGGACCTCCATGCATGGGATGGTGGTACTGCTTTGATTCAGGGTAGATCTTTTCTCAGGTGAACCTCTCTGGACATCTCCTCCCAGACATACCAAGAGTCCTGTCTCCTAGGTGATTCTAAATCTAATGAATTTGATAATAAAGTTACTTAAGAGAATCAGATAGAGCTATGGATGTAGCTCAGTGGTGGAGAACTTACCTAATGCATGCACAGTCTTGGGCTCAGTCTCCAAGCCTGCAAAAACAAATGCAAACACATAGTAAATACCAAATAAATATATTATGTATTATTTTTACATTTCAACTGAATTTATTACAGAACATTTCATGTGGCCTTTAAATTCATTCTCTGCCCATTTTAAGAAGCATATACCTTATTGCTTTATCTTTGAGAGTACATACTTCCTAATTCATATTCAGTGAGCTTTGTTTATGAGAGGAAATTCTTAGTGCATATTTAGCTAGTTTTATGTGACTGTATTGGGGGTCTGTCTCTCTGGCTCATCTATTTATCTGTTTACTTATTTTTGTGATGCTCGGGATGAACCTAGAGCTTCACACTTGCTAGACAGGTACTTAACCACTAAGCTACATTCCCAGGCCCTGGAGGGCTTTAATTTTCTTCTCGGGCTTTGATAGGGATTTTTTTCATTCTTCATTCATAGGTACCTGAAGTCTTACACTCCTTTAGTATCTGTCATATAATTGATTCTCCACAGCCTCTCCTATTGTAGTGCTCTGTGTTGTACCTGGGATCTTATGTGCGGCAGGGCAGCACTATGCTTTTGAGCCATCCTGCAGTCCTAAATGCTCTGTTCTTTTTATGTAGTATATAGTTCTTCTTAAGGAGATTTTTTTTGGCCTAGTTTATGTTTTTTCTAAATCAAAATTGGTTTAGAGATACAGTTATATATGCACTATAAATAATAATTTTCTACCTTTTCTCCACTATTTATATTTATTCATAGTCAAATTATTGTTCTAAAACAAACAAAAATGATCATATATTCTTTCTACCAAAAAGAAAGGGCAGATGATTTCATCCAGCATTTAGTTTAGTTTACAAAGAACGCAGAAAAATATTGGAGTTACTTGTCTATTTGTTTACACAAAGGAATTAATTGATCGTTTTAATTAGTCAGCATGTATTATTCACTTATTATGCAACTTGCTAAGACACAATGGGTTGCTTGCCCTCTACGACCTTGTCTTTAGCTAAGAATGTGTGGATACAGACCAGTTAGTAGTGTACTTGCCAAGAAGGCACATAGTCCTCGGTTAAATCCCAGCTCTAGATAAAACTGGACCCTAGAGCACACCTGCCATCTCAGCATTCAGGAAGAAGAGGAGGGTTAGAAGTTCAGCTACATGATATTGTCGAGGCCAACCTGAGCTACTACATCAGACTATGTCAGAAAGATAGAGTGTGTGCATGCATGTGTGTTTATGTATATGTATGTATATATATACACATATATTCATCCCTATCATATTTTCATATAGGATTGTTTATATTAAATTGCAATTGACTCATACAGTTATAGAAGTTGAGAAGTTATAGATTTGTAGTTAGGAACTAGAGGTCTAAGAGTGTAAACAGTATAGTTCCAGTCTGAGTCCTCAGGCTGTAGAGCCAGGACTCACTCTGTAAGTTCCATGTTGAAGTCTGAGTTTGAATCCAAAGACAAGGGAAGACAGTGTCTCAGCTCAGATATGGTCAAACAGAGAGAAAAATCTTATTTTTTTACTGAGGTTTTCAACAGATTGAGGAATGCTCTCCGCTTTAATCACTTAATTAATGTATGCTTTTGCTACTAACACAATACCAGAGATTTGTACCTAACACAAAAAGAGGTTTCTTTAGGGTACCAGTTCCTGCACATGGAGGGACCCCATCTAATGATAACCTTCCACAGGCAAAGTCTCATGTATGACAGTGAGAGATAGGAAGTTCTCTTTCTCTTCTCTTCCTACTAAGCCACTGCAATTCAGTCTTGAGGTCTTCACAGAAAAAGAAAAGAAAACTGGTCTAATCTCACTCGTCTCACATAGACCAGACATCTAAGCATGAGGTCACTCTAAGTTCCTGCCTTCTTAATACTTCATAATGGGGTTAACTTTTCCACTTTGGGGGATACTGCTCAGTGGTAGAATCCAGGCTTAGGGTTCGGAAGGCTCTGGCTTCTGTTGCCAGCACCACAAATAGTAATGGTAACAGTGATGATAATAAATGTGTCTGCTTCTCTAGGACTGCTGTAAGGCAGTACCACAAACTGAATGACTTAGAACAATGGAAGTGAATTATCTTGAGGTTCTGCAGGCTAGGCCAGATATAGCAAGGCATCAGCCACACCAGTTCCTCTGATTGCTGAGGGTTAGTCCCATTCCTTCCTCCTTGTTTCTTGTTGCTTAGGTATTCCTGGCTTTATAGGTGGCATTCTCCCAATGTCTTCACATTGTCTTCCTATATGTCTTTCTCCGTGTGTCTCTATTTTATAATTGTGGAAGGTGTGGTTTGAGTAGAAATGGCCACATAGACTCATGTGTTTGAATACTTGGCCCATAGGGAGAGGCACTATTGGGAGGTGTGGCCTCCAGATCAAGATGTAGAACTCTCCTTCTCCAGCACCATGTCTGCCTGCACACTGCCTTGCTTCCCACCATGATGATAATGGACTGACTCTCTGAACTGTAAGAGAGCCCAGTTAAATGTTTTCCTTTATAAGAGTTGCTGTGGTCATGATGTCTCTTCACAGCAATAGAAACCCTAACTAAGACAGAAGAATATTAGATTAGGACCCACCTAATGACCTCATTTTTATTTGGTTACTTTTGTATAAATCATATCTCAAAGAAAAGATCACGTTCTAACATATCAGGATTAGGACACAACATGTCGTGTGTCGTCCCCCCCCCCCCCCCCCTGAGGATGGAGCATTGGGGACCTATATAAGTAGTTGGATTTTGAAATATTTTGTTCTTTTTTCTTGCTTTTTAGGTTATTACTCATTAATATATGTTGAATTTTTGTTATGGCCTTTGCTGTTCTATGGAATAGTACTTTTCCAGAACTTAATCAGATTATGGTTGAGGGAAAAATAGTCCAGTCTTAAATTATTATTGTAAACCAAGTATTAAAAGATTTCTTTTTCATGAGCTTTTAGTATAATGTGCATTATTAATCTATAGAAATGTATAGACACATTTATCATATATATTTGGTTATGTAACTTATATTAGTATTTCTACAAATGTTGTTCTATGGAAGATTCCATAGACTAAAGACAAAAGCTATGGTACCCACGGAGCTGTAAGGTACTAAGTTTATTATCCAGGTCAATTAAAGGATGAGAGAGAGATATTAACTTCATTGCTAGCTCATGTAACATATATATATATATATATATATATATATATATATATATATATATATATATATATATATGTATATGTATATGTATATGTATATGTATATATACACTTTGGAAATATTAAAATGATACTTTATTGAATCTGCATATTATACCTATTATATTGTTAATAATTTTGTATAAATGTGGACATATTTTGCTCTCTTTACTTTTGTATTATAGGTGTATTTTCTTTCAAGATGATGAACAATGTCAAAATAAATATGCTAAAAATATGGAAAATGTTGAGTTATTAAATAACAAATATTTCCCATAACCCTGGATTCAAGAGTGTGGTGCTCTAACATCTTACAGATGTAGCATGGATGGCTACGTTAGAGCTTCAAGAAACCCTATCAGTCCTTTGTTCATAGATGCTAGAATCTCTTCTCTGCTGACTTTTATGCTCTTGGCTACTTGATTCTATTAAGACTTTTCTATGGCATTTAATAATATTATATCTCTTAATGAAGTCTTCCAGTTTCTGTGATGAAACATCCTGACCAAAAGTAACTTGAGGGAAGAGAGGATTTACTTGACTTACATTTGCAGGTCACTGTCAATGCCAAAAGACAGAAACAAAAGAAAAACAATACAACCCACTCTTTTAAGGGAGTAAGAGGCTATTCTGTAGCCATATTTTGAGTGATTATAAATCAGGAAACATATATTTAGGTCTCCCCAAATATAAGCCCCCTATGAGGAAGCAGTTTTATAACAGAACAAAGATAGATATAAATTGGGGAATTTTAAAAATACCTTGGTGAGAACAAGAAGTGGGTAGTTAACAACAAACAGAAGAATCTCAACTCTGTGCTTCAAATGTTATCTGATAGCATTCTTAGTCCTTTGGTAGAGAACGGGGTTTTGTTAATATATTGTAAAGATTTTTATCTGTTAATCAGGATATTAAGTCAGACTCTTAGGTAGCCAAGAATGCTGTTTAGGGTTTTAAAGATAGCCTGAGGAAAATTGTAATTAGGATATCTGATGAACAATATTCCAAACTCTGTAGTCACTGAAGTTAATAGTCCATGCCTGTGCAGACAGCATCTTTCCAGGAATTCTTTACACCACAGTCCACTATTGAGAGACATCAAGACAGGAACCTGGGGCAAAATTCATGGAGGACAGCTATATGCTAGTTAGCTTTCTGGCTGAGCTTATAGCCTCTTATGTAGTAGCTATCTTCTGTAGTTCAAGACTACCTGCCTATGGAAGGTGCCACCCACGGTGGGCTGGACCTTATGTCAGTTAAGAATCAAGATAATCCTCCATAGATTTACCAACAGGCCATATCTGACCTAGGTAATTCTTCAGTCAAAATATTCCTCTCAAATGACTCTAAGCTGTGTCAAATTGACAAAAAATGTTGACTAGGGCATACAGTCTATGTGTATTTTTTCACAGTCCTGATACATAGGAAATTTATACATTTTGATAAAATTAAGTACCTCTAATGCAATCCTTGAAAATTCATTAACTTTTTTTTTTTAACACAGTGGGTTATTATAGAAAGAAGAGAAAGAACATAAAGTTGGAAGGGGAGCATGGAGCTGTGGGATTGGTAGGGGTCAGAGAAGGGAAGTGGGAGCTGGATAGGATTGAATTGTCTTGTGGGCATGAATTGAAGGGTTAATGAGCTGAAAGCCTCAGGTGGCCTGAGAACCTGGACAGGAAAGTTGACTTGACTGATAACACCCGTGGAAGTTAGCGATAAGCTCAATATACCAACCTCCATTGTTATGTACTCTGAGACTGCAGGAGACCTGACCTGTAGATGGAATCTTGCCATCCTATTATGTGTGTACCCTCTCCTCTCTGGCTGAGAGACATGATATTAAAAGACAATTAATTAATTAATTAATTAATTATTAAGAGACTTGTTGATATTAAAAGACAATCTGCTTCTGCTGAGATCAGTTTATTTCTGTTATTTCCATGTCACCTTCATCGAAATCCATCTAACATGCATGAAATTCTCCAAGAATAAAGACAAAAAGAAAAAATAATATTTTGCTCACTTCTCTACACACGTTTTCTTGTTCCCTAAAGACTGAATGACTGCTTTTTGAACAGAGTTTCTGCTCCTAATTCATCTTATTTTACCAAGAAGGTTTTAACCAAACCAGAAGAGTAGATTAAGAATCACTTCTGTTCTTCTGAAATAGAAAAAAAATAGAGAAATGGAGAAAATTTACTTGATGGAGTTTACTTAGTTCCAGTTCCCAATGTTTCAGGGTCCCTAGCCATTTCAGAAAAAAAAGTATAGAAAGCATTTAGTAAATGTTTTATAGAATGAGCCAATGAATGGATCTAATTTAATGGGTACCCATGGGATATTTGTGTGTCCTTTAGGAAGATTTAGTAGTTAATAACATAAAATGTATCAGTTCTTACACTTGAGTTTGTCATATGGCTTGTTGTGGCAACATTTCTCTGATAAAATGCTGTTATTTTTATTTTCACTATTATATATGGAATAGGAGTTAAAGGATTACAATTCAATGATGAGGCTATATATGTGAGGTTATAAAGAGTCTTTTCTTATTCATTTTTACAGTTCCTTTTCAGGTAATCACCTTGTGACATACAAACTTAGATTATATCTTTTTTTAAAGTATTGAATAAGGGAGAAGTGAAATGTATTCTATATTTATATTTTTATACCATTTTAACTCTATTTCTGAAGGCAAATGAGTTCCATAGAACCACCTATGTGACTGAAAGTATATTTAAATATTATCATTAACTGTATATTTATAAATAATCTTTGACCAGGTGGTGGTGGCGTATACCTCTAATCCTAGCACTCAGAAGGCAGAGCCAGGCAGATCTCTGTGAGTTCGAGGCCAGTCTGGTCTACAGAACAAGATCCAGGACAGGAACCAAAACTATACAGAGAAACCCTGTCTTGAAAAACCAAAAAAAAAATCTTACTTTCTAATAGTTTAAATTTTAAGAACGTTATAAGAATTACATCAGCACTGGAGTGTTATACATCAATGAAGAGACAAGTAAAATTAAAACAAAGTTCATTTATCTCCTTTAAAGACTTCTTATCCTTTAGAGCAGTAGACTATAGGTACCATAGAAAACTTAGAAGAATTTTTCAAAAATTAATTGTACAACAAGAAACTATTGGGGATAGATTTGATCCTATGAAGAATAATTACAGCAAACTATTGTAGAAGGTTTTTTTTTTAACATAGTTTAGCTATAAACTTATTTTTGAAAATTATTTTGACCTTGATCTCTTCTAAACATTTCTTATAGTTAAATTACTTTAATAAGAAATTTCTAATGTAGCTTGTTAAAATTCCTAATAAAATAACTGGTGTTTAGTTTGTTTAGTAAATATAGTATGAAAAATATAAGTTTAAATTCCTTCTTTATTCCCTACAGGAGATATAAATAGCTCCTATTTTAAAGATAAACAATTTGATACACCCTAAATCTAAATGTCTGCCACAATATTAAAATAAGCATTTTAATTTTAATGGCTATTTCTGGTATTAAAGTATGCTTCTTTTAACAAGTTTGCAGCAGTGGTTTCAAACTATTCTAAAACTCTTATTAGAGAATGATTTTTCTGAATACCCCAGTCAAGCGGTGCCGCTCTCATGCTTTTAGCCTTTATCAAAACTTTTCATTTTCCTCTGCTATAAAAACTTCTTGCCATGCACCTGACTGCAATAGTTCTGATAGCCATTTAAGAAATTCTACTAGAATTTTTAATTTATAATTAATTTATAATTAATTAAGAATAATAATAAAAAAGAGAGTGAATGAGTATCAATATTTGTGAGACAGAATTGGAGTAAAGAAATACAAACTATAATTATTATCTTCTAACACAGATGAACAGTAAGTGGTCAAGAAAACAGTGAATTCTAAAAGATAAGGCTATCACTGTTAATATCTGGAGAAAGGATGATAAAAGATGCTTAGTTTTGCTGTGTGTGTCTCTAGGGAAGGCCTGCTGCCATGATTCTGCCTGTAAGCCTTTGTTTCCTATTCTGTGTTTTGTAGAAAAAGAAATTGAATTTAGTTGTGTTTTTAAGATTATGCAGCTAATAGAAAAGTCTCTCTCAGAATGGCATTCAAATCTGAGTTCCAAATGCCTACTCATTTCACATCACTACAGGCTAGAGAGAACCCGTTTCCCCTGGCAATTAACCATAGGAGTTTGTCATACAAAAATAGTATGCTTTTAAAGATTCATACTTTTTATTTTGTGAGTATGAGTGTTTTGCCTGGGTGTGTGTGTGTGTGTGTGTGTGTGTGTGTGTGTGTGTGTGTGTGTGTGCGTGTGTGTGTGTCTGTATGATGTGTCTGGTGCCCATGAAGGCCAGAAAAAGGTATCAGATCCCATTGAACTTGAGTTGCAGATGCTTGTGAGCCACCATGGTTGTGTAAGCACTCTGCACTACTGAATCACCTTTCTAGTCCCTGATTACTTTTAAAATTTTTTAAATTTACTTATTTTATTTGTAGTTCTCATGTGGAACAAAAGCTCAGGAAGTTATTTGTTTTAGTTTGAGAAACACAGTTCATAAATAGTACAGTAACAAATACATCTTTCGAGGACCAAGAGATTGGGCTTTGTAATATGGCTATATCTAATTAATGTTCCCTCATTTGCTATACATTTAAACATTGTGGACTGGTATAATTTAATCTGTGTGTTGATGTCAAAAGTAATGCTTTGGTTTTTATTGTGACTTTTTCAAAACCACTAAGCATATTTCTCCCTTTTGCAGTCTTTATGGTAGAACCTGAATGTTAAATTACAGTTTATAGCATATGTCCATCCTTGTTCTCTTCCTGCTGGGAAATCCCTGGGCTTTATTACATGTGAATTATGGATCCACAGCCTTAGGAATTTCTCCAACTATGACTACTATCCTTATATCTTTAATAAAATAATTTTCATATACATGAACAAAACTTGTGCTGATATAAAATGAATGTTTCTGAAATAAGTTTATGAATATTTGAATGTCTATGAACTAATAGCAAGAAAAACGATGAAACTAATTTGACAGATAAAATTTGAGCCTATGTAAGGTACACAAAAATGTAGTGAATTGATTGAATTGATCAAGCAAGGCTGTTCTTGGACTAGAGGGAAAAAATGGTTTTGGCTGAAATAAGTATTGTAAGTGCACTCAAGGTTACACATGGACTTCCCTCAAATTTTATCTCTAGGTGAGTAATTTTTGAATCATTATATCAATAGCTTTTCATACTTATACACTTGCTTTTTCTATTCTATAGAGCCAAGAAAATGATGAGCTAAGAGATGCCCATGAAAAACGCAAGGAAAGGCTACAGATGTTACACACCAACTACAGAGCAGTAAAAGAGCAATTAAAACAGTGGGAAGAAGACAGTGGCATGTGAGTTACATGGCTCATAAAGGCATTTCCCTAAATATTAAATGGAATGGAGAGCATTACATAGGTGTTTTAATGGCTTTTGTTTGGTTTTAGAGAAATTATTTGGTAGTCAAATCTTTACTGTGAGTATTTTAGTGGAGAACATAACAAATGAAAACAGAAAAATGTCCTAGCCATAACTATAGATTTTCCTATCACTTACAGATGTCATTGGCAGGTGATTATGAGTAGTATATGTCTTTACTATCAATAGAATAGCTTAATAAAAGTCTATACTTCAAAGTAAAACCAGTTAATATCCATATTATTGAAGAACTGCTTTTAAATAAATAAAATACTGGTGTTAAAAATTTTATAACCCCCAAAGTATTTACATTTTAATGGAAAGACAGTAGAAATATGAAACCTACATGTATAGTTAACCACCTTAAAAATATTTCCACCTAATCTGCAGTTTGAAGATCTTTACTATCCATCAGTTTTTTTAACTTCTGCTTATCTGAATGAATTGGCAGTCTCAGTTCAATTGCCCTGAACAGGTGTTCAGATCTTGGTTAGTCGTAAGTTGCTCCCTTGTTAACAGTATCAACAGAGGGCAAAGGACTGAATGAGTACAGAAAATCTACTTCCCTCTCACTTTGAGATGGATCCTTTAGGGCACTGTTGATGATGCACATTGGTCTGTTCTGTAGAGAAGTCGTTTCTAAATTGGCCAGTACAGCACTTTTAAAAACTAGAAGTGAAGTTTGTTTTATGTACAGAAAATGAAACTATAAAGGGCATTTGGCCTCACGTGTAGATAATTGTCCCACCTAATCTTTTCCTTTGATGAATAGGAAATGGTTCACATCGTGTCTCCATGAAGCAGTGATAGAGCTGCTTTCCCTAGCTTTAACCTCTGCTCACCCAGCTTGCAGTGATACCTACAAGACTGCAATCTGCTATCTGACATAGTCACTATTAATAACTCGTCTGTAATAGGGCATCTTTACCACATGCAGATTGGATGTCAGCAAATTCTAGATGAATCAATTGCTTGTGTCTTATTTTGTAGACATATAATCCTACAGAGTATGTTTTATTACTATTATACTAGAATGAATTAGAGAAATAAACCCTTAGGTTTATTAATATCATATGCCTACTTAAAAGTTTTCTTTTCATGGTAGCAATTTAGCTTTAGGAAATTATGATATAGGACTTTAATTTTGACATGCTTAGGTATTAGGAAAGTCATCTAAGAAACAGTAAAATTAAATTAGTAACTGAGATTTGGTCATTGGATAGTTCTGAATTTTAAGGAATGTATAAATAAACTTTATGGGACTTTGAATATGCTGCAAATTTTTTATTTTAAAAGTAGGACTGAAACTAGAAAAGTGAAGCGAGCACATCCTCAACAACTTCGACAGGAGGACTCAGATGCCATGTGGAATGAGCTGGCGTATTTCAAAAAGGAAAACCGAGAGTTGATGGTGCAAAAGTGAGTTTCTTTGTAACAACAGAAAATTGAATAAATAATCTGGGCAATTTTTTGTTACTCAAAGTCTTACTAGAGAAGTACATTTTAAAACTTGAGAATGAAATGATCTGAGATTTATAGATAAGATTGTATATGTATGTAAGTGTATAGATAGATAATTATGCAATAACAAGTTGCACATTTGCTAGCTCTAACAGAAACTGTATAATATGATCTAGGGATTGTGTTAATTAATGTGGCTCTCATCTGTTGAGAGTGTCGCTCTTCATTAGCCTGTGTTTTAGACACTGCCGTGCTTCATTTTTGGAATGAGGTGGAGAGGGGATAACCTAGCCAGCCATCCTTGTTTGATCTCCTAGATATATACGCAATGCAGAATGCCTGAGCTCTCTTGGTTCCCTGCCCTGTCCTGCTAATCCCAGCTGAGCTCATTATGGTGTAGCCTTGCTGCTACTCTTGGAGCCAGAGCTGTCCAAGCTAATTACTGGTAGCAGCAGAACTGCCTGTTAAGGGTCTGGTGTGGATCTGCTAACATGGTCCTTGGTAGTGACCTGCAAAAGACACGAGGGAATTGCTTTCTTTCTTGCCTTGCAGTACCTGTCCTTTGGGTTTAATGCTGATCCTCCACATAGGTCTTTTAGCTGCCCTAAGTATAAAACTTGATGAAGGATACTCATATTTTAGAAAACATATAGTTTGCTTGCTTGATCTTATAATTCACGGCCTATTATATTTAGCTTGGCAAAGAAAGAACACTTGTTTTCTTTTTAGACAAACAAAAGAGTTATACCAATATAATTAGTCTCTTCTTTTACTTAACTGTTTATTTTGTTTAGAGTAAATTTTTGACATGTGAATCATAAAGCATTTTTTTATGTTCAGATACTGTTTAGCTTGCTACAATCTAACATCATGTAGCACATTGTAATGAACTGTCATTGATTACTCTTAGCTGTAAGCTGAAAGCTTCTTTATATAATATGTGTAACTGTTGATCTTTTTGTAAATAATGTGAAACTTTTAAGGATATGACCATGTCAGATTTAAATGTATATCCTTCTTTACTTCCTAAAGTACAGTGTTTTCTATTATAGCTGAATATTAAATGCCAATAAGTCTCTTACCATGAAAATTATTTTCCAGACTATATAAATTATTGTTGTAAATATTTCTTGATTTTAAATAGCTTTATTGAAATATAATTCAGAAACCATATAATTCTCTCATATTAAATATAATTCATAAAGCATATTCAAAGATTTCTATACTATCTCTTATTACAGTTAATTTTAGGACATTTTCATAGTCTCTGCAAAAACCTATACAACTAACCTTTCCATCTACTTTTCCAACCCTAGGGAATTATATACTAGTCTATTTTCTCTCTTTTTAGATTTTCCTACTCTCAATTTGTCATATAATCTTTGTAACCACATTCTTTCCCTAAACATATTTCCAAAGCTCATCCATGTTGTAGCAGGTACTAGTACTACCTTAATTTAACAACCTAACAAGAGACCTTCTCTAACTAGCTGTTAGAGCCAACCTACTCAAGAAAATTCAGGTAGACATTAACTAGAAGAGATAGATTTTGTAGTATTTTACTCATTAATGAAATAAAAGAAAATGGAAAGAATCTATTTAAAGAAAGTTTGGTAACTCTTAGAAGCCTAATCTGTTCACACTGAGGTGCTGCTACATCATAAATAGCTCTTTGATTGAAGTGCTGAGTCGTTATTAAACCATTAAAAAATTTTGGTAGCCCATTTAAATTCTTTGGTGTAAATAGCCATTTATGATAGTTATTTTTTAGTAAATAACTATGTATTAAATACTATTTTATTATATTAGTAAAAAAATAATGAATTATTCTTCATAAAGAATGCTGAAGGCATGGTGGCTCAGGAATGTCATCTCAGTGGGATGGGAGGCAGAGAAAGAGGTTCTCAGCAAGTTGGAGGCCAGCTTGGTCTACATAGTCAGTTCTGGGCCAGCCAAGAATACATAGAGAAACCTCATCTCAAACAAAGAAACAAACAAAATGGAACTTTTTATGTTACATAATTGCAATGACTTAATGTACATCAGAATTTTGTGCTCTGTATTGTGGAAAACAAGGACTTTTTAACATTTTAATATTTAGTATTTGTTTTAAATTTTATTCTTTTTGAGTGATTTTAAAAACTGCTATTTGAGTTGCTGACTTGCTTCATTGAAAAAAAGTCATTAAATAGAATTTGGCTTGAGATTAGGACAGAATTCAATTACCTAGATGTTCCAAAACAGATTTCTGGCATTTCATTCAAAGCAATATTCTTAGCAGTGACTATAATAAATAAATATGTTGGTCAACTCTAAAAAGTGTTGAAGCAGTTCTATCTTGCAGTATCAAATATTCACCCAGTGTTTATGTAAAAATACATGCCACTGTGCCATAGGAGTACTGGGGTCACAGACCCTTGTCTCTAGCTTCTAGCTTTTTCCTGGGTTCCCAGAATCTACATCCAGGCTGTCAGGCTTGCTGGAGCAGATGCGCTACCCGCCTAGGCTCCAGACACCTCATGCTATTGTCTTCTTACATGCTCATTCTCTTTGTTCTTCTCTTTCTTTTAGGAGGTGGCAGGGATGCTGCAAGGGTGAAGGGCAGATATGGAGGGATTGGGAAATGAGTGGAATTGTGGTGCATGATGTGAATTTCCCAAAGAATCAATCAATAAATTACATTTTTAAATGAAATCTATTTTTTTGTGTATCATGGCTTTGATGTTATATCTAGGCATTATTTTCCTAACCTAAAGCTATAAGCATTTTATGCCATGTTTTAAAATTGTTATAAATTTATGTTTTATATTTGGCTCCATATTCCATTTAGAGCTATCCTTTGTATAAGTTATGTGTTATAGGCTAAAGTTTGTTTTGTGGAAATATATGTCCAATTGTGCCAGCATCACTTTTCAAAGGATATTTTTCCCAGTAAATTGCCTTTTAACTGTGAAGTATCAGTTCATAATATTTCTTTGTACTTAAATACAAGACTCGTTTATTCCATTCATCTCAATACCTGAATTTCACAAAGACTATACTGTTATAATAGTTGATGCTTTCCACAATGTGTTAAATTCAGTGGCAATAATCAATTTGAATCTTCAGAATTGTTTTGACCCTTATAAACACTTTACCCTGCTATACAAGTTCTAAGTATGAAAAACAAAAAGACTTTGAAAAACAAATTCTGTAGTGAGAGACTCAGGCAGGATCTTTGATTGGAATTGAGCTACAGCTCAGAGCTGTTTGGAGAGAGTAAAAACATTAACTATATTGAGCCTACATTTTCAAAAAGGAACATGTCCATTAATTATTTGGGTTTTTAATTTTGTGAGTACTAGATATTGTATTGTATGTACTCTGTATGTCACATGTATAATTTGTTAGCTGCTTTGGTGGTACACACTTTTAATCTTGGGAAGCTGTTGCTAGGGAAGTGATGAGGCCCAGGCCAGCCTGGGCTCCAGAGTGAGACACAATCAGAAAAACAAACAAACAAACAAACAAACAAACAAACAAAACAATCTTTGTCAGATATGGAACAAAGCATTTAAATTTTGCAGCTATCATAAATGCCATTGTGATCTTTGCTTTGATTTCTGATTATATATTGTGTCTAGAAGTGAGTTATATTTTTATGTGCTGTCAGTATGTCTTTATGCAGATATAAGCCTGCCATAGGATTTATTTCTGCATGCTTTGTCTTTGAAATTTTTTATAATTTCATATTTTAATCTGCAGTATCTTTGAGAATATTTTTAGGTTGGTTAATTCTTAAGCACTTATAAAATGTGCCATTTGCTTCTTGTCTCGATGGTTTGTGATGAGAAAGGTACTGTTTGGATAATTTTTCTCCTGTGAATAATGACTCATTTCTTCCTGCTTTCAATAATTTCTCCTTTGCTTTATTTTTTCAGAAGTTTGATTCTAAGATGTCTTGGCATGGATGTCTTTGGATATAGCTTATTTTGGATTCTCTCAATCTTTTAAAACACTGGGATGAATTTGTCAAAATTCAGCTTTGGGCCATTATCTCTATAAATATTTTCATGAACAGTGTGTTCCCTTTATTCTACCATTAGAATCCCCATGACAGCTAGACTTTTGTTCCACAGATCCCGAGACACTGTTCATCTGATTTTCACCCTGTTTTGTTTCTGTATAGATTATGTCATTTCTATTCTATCTTCAAGCCAAAGCTTCCCCTTCTCTCCTCTTTCATCTCTTATATTATAGCCATGCAGTATACTTTTAAATTATAATTTTTAGTTAAAATATATATATATTTGATTATTCTTTATGTAGCCCATTTATTTATTGAGAGTTTCTATTTTATTTATAGAAGTGTTTGCCATTGTTCCTTGGAGAATTTTAGATATGACTGCTTTAAAACCCTTGTCAAGTTATTCTGACATATGTATTATTGGTGGTTTAAGTGAGAAAGGCCTTCACAGTGGAGGACATTTGAACACTTGGTTCTCAGTTGGTGGCACTGTCTGATGAAGTTTAAGTGGTATGGCCTTGCCAGAATGAGTATGTCATTGGAGAAGGGCTTTGAGATGAAAAGTCAAGTGCCAATTCCATTTCCAGAGTGCTCTCTCTCTCTGTCTGTGTCTGTCTGTGTCTGTCTGTCTGTCTGTCTGTCTGTCTGTCTGTCTCTCTCTCTCTCTCTCTCTGTCTCTCTCTCTGTGTGTGTGTGTGTGTGTGTGTGTGTGTGTGCACACTCCCTGTTGCAGAAGTGAGCTCTAAGCCTCCTGCTTCTGCCACCATGCCTGCTACTTGCTGCATTGTCCCACCATGATGGACTCTTGCCCTCTGAAACTATGAGCCCAAATAAACCTCTCTTGAAGTTCCATTGGTCATCTTATTTTATCACAGCAGTAGAAATGTTACTAATACAGAAGTTACTATCAGAGAGTGGACTGTTGCTGTGAAGACCCTGGCCATGTTGTTTT